GTGCCGCAGATGGCTCCGGGGGATGAATAAAGGCCCCCTGTAGCGAATCCATGAGTTTTTGTAAGAAAAATATCCATATTTCAAATGTAATGAACTATTTTCTCTCTGACTGTCATACACTGAAGCAGTTCCGGCGGATCTAATGAGCACGTTTACATGCACACCAGTAAGCTGATAACTCACAAATATCAGCTTATTAAAATAACTAGTTTTCTCCGTTTACATGCACATCAGTAACCTGACAGTGCAAGTAAGCTGCGTTTACATGACTTCATTAATAAATCAGGTTATTGTAATGTGGTGTTTTGTTTCATGTTCATGTTTTCCATGTCTTTTATTTTGTAATTGTTTCATGGTCCCTGTTTGTGTCATGCTTCCCTTGCCCTCATGTATTCATGCCATTGGTCCCCCTGTTCATTGTGTCATGTTCTTATTGGTTGTCTTAGTCATGTGTCTTGTTTCCCATTGGTTTGTTCTTGTCATGTGACTCTCTTGTTTCCTATAAGTAGCTTCATGTTCCCATTGTGCCCTCGTCGTGTACTGAATGTATTTAACCCGCTGTTGGTGAGTCTAGTCTGTTTATGTCAAGTCTGCTCATGCTCATGCTCATGCTCATGCTCATGCTCATGCTCATGCTCATGCTCATGCTCATGCTCATGCTCATGCTCATGCTCATGCTCATGCTCATGCTCATGCTCATGCTCATGCTCATGCTCATGCTCATGCTCATGCTCATGCTCATGCTCATGCTCATGCTCATGCTCATGCTCATGCTCATGCTCATGCTCATGCTCATGCTCATGCTCATGCTCATGCTCATGCTCATGCTCATGCTCATGCTCATGCTCATGCTCATGCTCATGCTCATGCTATGTCTGGTCAAGTCAAGTCTGTTCATGTCCAGTCTGTTCATGTCCAGTCTGTTCATGTCCAGTCTGTTCATGTCCAGTCTGTTCATGTCCAGTCTGTTCATGTCCAGTCTGTTCATGTCCAGTCTGTTCATGTCCAGTCTGTTCATGTCCAGTCTGTTCATGTCCAGTCTGTTCATGTCCAGTCTGTTCATGTCCAGTCTGTTCATGTCCAGTCTGTTCATGTTCATGTCAAGTCTGTTCATGCCTAGTCAGTTCAAGTCAATTCTGTGTCTCGGATTATTGTTTGGATGTTTGGATCACTCTGTAAATAAACTGCACTTGGGTTCTCACTACACTCGCCTTCAGTGGATGATTCGTTACAGTTATTTCCCTGTAGTGACGTCAAAATATAATAATTTGCGTATCTGACTCTGAGTATTCCATACATTTGTCAGTTGTGATGTTAAATTAAGCTTGCAACATGTCAGCGGGAAACTTACAGCTCATATATTATCCTCTCATGCAGTTATAAATGCAGCATTGTGACAGAAAATGATAAAAATGTGTTCTCATCTCGTGCAGCAGAAGTAGATGAAATTAAGATATATTTCCTTCTTTTTTTTACTGCAAGACGTTTGCTCGGTCTAGATGCGCTTAAATCTGCACTAACAATGTGTTCCTGACACGTATCACACATGCGCACTTCAATAAGCCGACAGAAAGCGGGTTATTGCGTTTACATGCCGTGCGAAATTGGAGTAAGAGGCAAAAAACTACCTGTTGCGACCGGTTTAGGCTTATGCCGTTTATGACCTTACTCTGGTTTACTAAGCATAATCGGCTTAAGAATGTGCATGTAAACGTACTCAATGTTAAAAGTTTATGAAAAAGCATTGCTACCTCAGAGTTCTCTCTCATTCAAAGTCAGCTAAATGCTGTTATCGGAGTCTGTGTCATAAGCAGGGATTGAAATTAACTTTTTCACTCACCAGCCAATTTGGCTACTAC